CACCGGTAAATGTTTTATACCGTTTTTACTTAAATATGATCTAAATTCGACCGACGAGAAAGGTGGTCCGTTATCAGTAACTACCTTTTTTGCTAAGCCAAATCGAGCAAACAATCGTCTGAGACATGCGATTACTGCCGTGGCTGATGTACAGCTCAATTTTACCACCTCGATCCATTTTGAATGAGCGTCAACTATAATTAAGTAATATTTGTTATTAAACGGTCCCAAGAAATCAAGATTAAGGCGCGCCCACGGCTCTTCCGGCCATGGCCACGAGTGCAGCGGCACCGATGGTGGTGCAGCGCGCTGAGATCGACAGGCCAGGCACTGAGCACATACACGTTCAATGTCCGCATCGACTGTCTCCCACCATACGTAGTTCCGGCTTAATTGTTTCATCTTAACAATACCCGGATGTCCCTCATGTAACTCCTGTAACACAGTCTCTCGCAATGAAGTTGGAATTATTATTCTGTAACCCCATACAAGACAACCGTGATCAATATGTATGGATTCTCTTCTGTTAAAATAGGGTTTTTCTGCTTGTTCTTTACTGGCAGAGGGCCAGCCGAACATGACGTAACCGTAAATTTTGTTTAGTAAAGGATCCTTCGTAACTTCCTTTTTAATTTCTTTAAAACTGAGTGGAAAGCTTTCTTGAACGAAGTTTAGGTAATTATACTCCTTAATATTATTCTTAAAATTAGTATCCAGTGGAAGTCGTGATAGCGCGTCAGCCTGGCAATTATATGTAGAACTAATAAATTCGATCTCAAAATCATACGCAGCTAGCTTTACAGCAAATCGTTGCAGACGACTCGCGGCGGTTAGAGGTATACCTTTATTCTTTCCAAGAATATAACTCAAAGCCTTATGATCACTTCGTAAAACAAAACGTCTCCCGTACAAATACTGATGGTGTTTAGTAACCCCAAACATTATAGCCAAAGCTTCTTTGTNAAAGTATAAATTCTACAAATAAATAATACTCAACAATATTTAAAATAAAATGAGCCAAGAACGTTTATCGATAAAACCTGATAACATTGAAATCTTTTGTACAGCACTAAAGCCGCCATGTTTTGTGGCCAGATGACGTCACACTGGCACGAAATTTTGGTTGACGTTTCATTTCCATAGGTTTCCTACTTCATTGGAACAAACTAACAGTATCTTGAGATCTGACAGCTTGTTTGACATGGGTATTCAACTCCACGATAATAAGATCCCATGTGTTAGATAAGTTAGCTGGTTATTTAGGATCCTCTTATCGTGAACAATAACAATGAAAATGTTACAAAATTACACTATAAAAAAAGTGAGATTAATAATTAAAATTTATTTTTATTATGTCATGTTATTATTATGATAACTTTTTACCTTAAATCGCGATTTACTATGTAATGTACACGATACTATAATACTGTATATTTTTTTATTGATTGTTTTGCAACCCTTTTATTGTGAAGACCAACTTTGTTCCTAGTTCTTTTTAATTTATTTATTTATCGTATGGCATTCGTTTACACTGCGTGGTTATAATTTAAATTTACAGTTTGTGAAATAATCGATAGCTTCTTCTGTTAAATTTTTGAGATCTTCCACTTGGCCTGCGAATTTCGTTAGTGGGCATTCCATGACAATGTGGCGCATAGTTTGAATAAATAAATAATAATAATAATTTTTTTTAATAAATTTAATTATTTGTACTTAATGGTTGATAATTTGATTACCGTTCTTAGTTTAAAAGAACAAGTCATTAAAAACAAAACACACGGCTTAATAAGAGAAGTTAGTTAAAGCAGTAATGAAGAAGGAATTAGATGTAACTGATATGCTCTCATCTCGTAACGGTAAGTGAGCTACCTACGTAGGTAAATTAATTTTATTAGTCAAGCGTGTTCAGTGTTGTATTTGAGATGATTTTTGTGTGGATTTGTCTGGCTTTAAATTTAGTTTTTGTCACTAGTCGACTATACTTTGAAAAGCTATTTAAGGAAAACAGCTGTTACTTTTTTGAACCTCTGGAAGATAACGTCAAAGGGAAGATCTTCCATCGAACCGGGTGAAATTGCTCGGCAAACCGACTGTCCGAATGTTGTTGTTCGGGACTTGTATGTTCGGAAGCTTATCTTGAAAATGACGTTAGCGAGATTCAAGCATCTGTCAAATATCTTGTGTTCTATCGACGAAATATTTTTTATAATATAATAATAATAAAATTAAATGTTTCCGAAGCGAAGCGAGGGCGGGTCGCTAGTCTATACTAATATTATAAAGAGGAAAGATTTGTTTGTTTTTTTGTATTGAATAGGCTCCGAAACTACTGAACCAATTTGAAAAATTCTTTCACTTTTTGGAAGCTACACTGTTCTCGAGTGACATAGACATCTTTTTTGAAAAAAATTAGGGATCCTTACTAAAACTCCAATAATGTTACTCAATGTGTAAAAAAATTACCTAAAATATTCTTTGCATCAAGTGCCCTGCGAAAACTATTGATGATAGAATAAAAAATGTACTATGACTTTGTAGAACACATTATTATTTACAAAAAGTGTCGGAACAGCATATGTCTAACTATAATAGTTTGGCCACAATAAGTGTTGTTTTATGTAAAAAAATAAAACAACGTCAAATATCGTTGAAATTTTTGTTAAAGACCCGAGCGGAGCCGGAGCGTGTCGCTTTTTACAAATAAAAATAAAATTACGAGTTCCAAACAAAAAAAAAAATATCGTTTATTTTATTTTATTTTTTTATTGCCGTATTGGCAGACGAGCATACGGCCCACCTGATGGTGAGTGGTTACCGTCACCCGTGGACGTCAGCAATGCCAGGGACATAGCCAAGCTGCTGCCTACCGTTTAATACTCTCAACAAGCCTCGTTTGAAGAAGGACATATCATAGTGCTCGGGAAACACCGTGGAGGGGAGCTCATTCCAAACCCTGATGGTACGTGGCAATAAATATCTTTGGAAACACACTGTGAATGAACGTAGTGGCTCCAGGTAAATGGATGAACTCTACTCCGGTGGCGGGCGGTGCGATGGTAACAACGAGACGATAATCATATCATATCGTAATCATATCTTATCATATCACGTGATACTTGGATACTCTTTCAACCGTTTGGTAGAAAATTAGACTGTGGACTCCCGTCCGTTGCAATAAAAACAGTGCTCACAAATAGAAAGCAAAGTAATAAAACATTTTTATCCCATGTACGATATTTGCGTTCGGCTGTAGCGATTTTAATTAATTTGATTATTTTCCAATTAATCGATTCGCATATTGTAAGCCTTCCCCGTGAGCCCTGAGCGCGGTCCCGGTAATTTGGTTTCGACATTTTGCGATGAATTAATTGTAATTGTAATTGAATTAATTGTTATTAGAGGACGCCCCGAGCTCACGTTATGTTTAGATTTTTAAAAGACCCAAAATAAAATTATTTCGTTTCTATCAAATAATTTAATTATTTTGGGCTGGTTGAATTCGAGTATAAACACCCAATTATAGAGCGAAACACGTATAAATCCAAATAGGTTTGTTCGAATAAGATAATGTTCGAAGGACCATCCAGCCGTCTCATAATTTACGCACGAAACAATCAAAAAGAGGATCGGAACACGAGTTTGTTACAGCACATTTGTTATTGTGACCCCTTCTGTATTTCCCTTGTGACTCATTTCACGATTCAAAACCAAAAAAGTTCAAAACTATGACATATATATCTTTTTTTCGTTCATTCCTTCGATCGACAATAGCATTTTTCGCCTATCGCTAGATCCAAGTGATTTGTAATGATTTATTAGCCGTCTTGTTGGTACTTAAGTGAAATATTCTATAGATATGTTTTTTATCTTTAGGGGATAGAACGCCTTTTGGATCCTCGCGGATAGGTTTGCATCTAGGTAGGTTCCTATGTCTACCGCGAAGCACTGACAGGATCTATTTCAAGGACGAGACAGTCATTGTTACACTATGGAACTGAGATTTTTTTTATGAATTACTCGTGGTCCAAAGGCCTTTCCAGTTTCACCAGAATAGGCGAGCAAAGGCTCAGTGAGGAGGGATGGGATTTGCTAACAGCTGTCCGAGCGCCTCCAAAGGAGACCTAACAATTCAAGAGCAACTGCTTCGCGTGAATCTACTACCGGGTCGGAATCGCGACCCGCTGAGAAGATCCGACGAGAAACTCAGCAGGCTGATGCATGAGTTAGGTTGCACGACCAACTCTTTGCTGAGTTTGACGAGAAGGGTTACGGGGGTCCGTAAGTTTGCTCTTAGCGTTATAGCTGAAAGCCTCTAATGCAAGAGTTATTAGATCTGATAGATCCGTGAGGATGTGGGAACTCAGATTTACAACTAGTGGCGGCATTTATGATGTTGATGTCATATGGGCTCCGGAAAATACTTAACATTTTGCACCTTTAGAATTATAGATACCCAAACCAAAAACAGTTTTTTGGAAAACATCGAATAAAGTTTTCGAGAGAAAGAAAAATTTCGAAATGGGTCTCTATAATTTTAAAGGTGCACATTTTTACTAGTAGTTATTATCAGGCCTCGGATACCAGGTTAAAATAGTTAACCAGCTCGTTAGAAATGCCATACATTTATAAAAGAGCCGTAACATTACTTACTAACTTACTTACGGGTAAGTGTTGACTTCCAGAATATTACTATTAAGAACCAGTATTGCTTGTCGGACTTTAGGTATAGGAAACAAGTAAAATTTTGAGCTGAAATCTCTAAGTGACCTCCATTTGGCATTTTGATGTCTATGGACTATTGGGAGTTTGGTCGCCCATCGTTCACAACAAACAAAGACTATTTCTATATATTAATAGTAAGCTAAGTTTATTTAGCATAGCTGGATTTCAACAACGCATGTATGAGACCTAAACTCAGCATTGGATGGACACGGGTTGAAGAAGATGTATGATGGTTTATGGCAGCCAGGTGAGTAGGAAATTAAATGAATGGTACTTACGCTGTGGTGGTCCAGATTGGTGGTGGCGGTAAGGAGGTCCAGTATTGCGGAGAATGAACCTCGCGCGGCGCGTCGGAACCCTTCCGGAGGCGAGTCGGCCGCCGCCCCACCAGCCACGCTCAGCGGGGAGCGGGCCCACTGGGCAGATCGGAGGAGGTCACAGAGTGAAGTCGTTGTCGTTAAAGACAGGTATATTTGTTGCCCTTGTTAGCAGACAAGCTTACGGTCCACCTTATGGTAACTGCCGCTTATGGACTTCAGTAGTGCAGGAGGCACGGTCAGTCTACTGTTGAGGAGGTCTTTTTTTATTGCTTAGATGGGTGGACGAGCTCACAGCTCACTTGGTGTTAAGTGGTTACTGGAGCCCATAGATAGCTACGACGTAAATGCGCCACCCACCATGAGATATAAGCTCTAAGATCTCAAGTATAGTTACAACGGCTGCCCCACCCTTCAAACCGAACTGCATTACTGCTTCACGGCAGAAATAGGCAGGGTGGTGGTACCTACGCGCGCGGACTCACAAGAGGTCCTACCACCAAAAAGTTCGCAAACTCTCGTTTGAAGAACGGCATGTCATAGCGCTCGGGCATAAAATATCGGATTGTTAGTAGGAAATAGGCCTCTGGAAACTTCTGTCGGTGAATGCAGTGATTCTACGTAATTTAGATGAACTCTGTCCCGGTAACGGCTGTGCCCCATGGAACATAAGGTACAAAGCACAGAGAGATCCGAAGTCTCTTCATAGATTCAGAGGTTCCAAACTATCCGTGAGAATGGGATTGCATTTAATAATATACTTAGGTAATAAGCACCTGGACAAAGAACGAACAAACCTATTGTTTACACTACACAAATGTTAGTCCGATGTGGGAATCGAACCCACGATTCTCGCCGCAACTTACATGGTCGCCAACTTCTGCACCACTGAGTCAGTCAGACATTATAGACTAAAGCCGAGACAAAGTTGGGTGGTGGCATGCCGGTTGTGATGATCCCGACTGTATCAAATCGACTGTAGTGTCGGAGATGACTCCTAAATAGTACATCCCCGATATTTATCAAAGCTATTAATTATTTAAATCAATTAGGTATGTACCTTAATATCACCACGTAAGTGCAGAAATTTTCCAGAAAAAAAACAACATTTTCGATACTAAGTTGTATTATGCAACAGATTGTGTATCAGGAGCACAGAGCTGGCGCGGAGGTCGATCCGTTTCAATAATTCAGTAACGAAAACCTGCTGCCTGATTCTGGGTGCCGGGTATGTGCGAAATTACATTTAATTTTCACGGTAATTGTTTTCTAAGAAAGAATGACGTGAGGTTTTTACTTCATTACTTAAGGTAGCTTGAGAGAACAGACTTATTGAGACAACTTAGAGTTGGTTCACGCATGATACATTTTTTTAAATACAATTCAGTTTTGAATTTCCCGATTAAGAAGAAATATTGAAGTAAGACCTACAAAATATTTAGAGCGACTGGGAGTCACGCGTAGCTTCGCATTAATATAGAGAACAAAACTTGATAAAGTTGTAATATGAAAAGATCAAAACTGTCTCCCATACGTGGCATAATCCAAGAAATGAATTGAGGATCCTTTGAGGGGAATTCAAGGAAAACAAATATTTTGAATAGCTGTAGCGTTGTAGCGTTTTTGTCGGATCTCTTTAACATCCCCAGGAGCCTAACTAATTTTGGGACACTACCTACTTGAACGACGTTTTGATTGGAATTTGATTATTTATGTAGAAGAAGTACCGCCAGACCATCCGAGCGAGATAGTTAAAAAGTTAATCATTTAAAAAAAATCATTTTTTTATACATAAAAAAGGCAAACCGGATTGAAATATAATTTATATAATTATTTTTCCCATTCGGGTGATCCAAATCCGGATATTATCCTCCGACCGTAATAATTTTTTTTTATCAAACATAATAAAATCACTGTATTGTCATCGGTCTATGAAACGCGCGCAAATTTTCAAGCTAATCGGACATCTTCTAATTAAGTTGAAAGATTCTCTTACACAGATCGACACGGCTCATGTTAAGAATAGCGTGCTTAAAGGGCTCGAAATCACAAACGTCCCTATCAATTTTTATTTATTTTCAAAGAATTATATTATAAATTTTTTTATTTTTTTATTGCCCTTGTAGGCAGACGAGCATACGGCCCACCTGATGGTGAGTGGTTTCTGTCGCCCATGGACTTCAGCAATGCCAGGGGCAAAGCCAAAAATGCCTACCATTATGAATGCGATTAACTTCGACGGCTATAAACATATTTGCATAAACTCCTAACCTTTTTTATTCAACGATAATAGCGTCGACACAATGTTTTAAAAGATAAGCCACAGTTGAAATGTATGCATACACGAACCATTTGCATATTCAGTGGGCGATTAAGTTATTTCACAACGCAATATAGGCTGTGTATGATGAGCGTGTGAAAGACAGTTTTGATTTTTAAGTCGCATGCATAAGAATTGATTTCGGAAAACCATTAAATTGGAATTAGTCTTGTTATTTAAAAGATACAATTACTAATTTGAGATTATCGAGCGGTGGGGATATAGCTCAGTGGTAGAGCATTCGACTGCAGATCGAGAGGTCCCCGGTTCAAACCCGGGTGTCCCCTATATTTCTTTTTTAATTTTCATTTTTAAATAATACAAGCAAGAAGGATTTCCGGTGGCTGGAGGCTTTTTTAGATACACCAGGGGAGGACGGGCTCATCCAAGAGCAATCTAATCCAAGAGCAGTCTACCATCAACTACCCGAGCGGCTTCAAAAAGGTGCTTCGTACAAGTACTTCTCACCGCCGGAAACGGAAAGAAGTAGCTTTGTCCATAAACCTCTTCATTCATTAAAAACAAATTACATGACAACATTAATGATAGTATTGTTCGTCCAATAATCAATATTCAACTATAATGACTGACTTAGATTTATTTTATCATGAATAATTTTCACCTTTATTTTATGATTGACGTTAAGAAAATGAAAAAATATATATAAAAACCGATACTTAACAAACAAAGAAAGAAAATCAGTTGACAAAGAGATGAGAAAACTGTACTAAGCTGTGTTATCTGTTTGCCTATTTATTTACAAATGTACGTATTAAACATATTTATAATAAACTAGCTGTGCTCGCAGCTTCGCCCGCTACAAAATACAGTATTATATTAAAACATAAAAACCATTCGATTTAGAAAGCTAACTACTACTTAAGATAATTTTAGGTGAATTTACATACACACAAACATTCTCTTTTATATTTATAGATTTCATATCAATTCGACTTATGGTTCAAAAGATTAAAATTACTGCCTCCAACGCCACCTATCCGGCACTAGCGTAAGTAACTATGTTGGTCGAGTGGTCATAGTATCATTTAAATGTGTGCAAAGCTTCATATCAATTGGACTACCGGCTCTCGAGTTTTAGGTGAACCTACGCACACACATACATTCTTTTTTATATATAGATATTTAAATTAAGCCTTAATACGATTCAAAATGTCACTACAAACAATAGAGATTGGATACAAGAAAGTCTTACAAATGATATTCAATTACCAGGGCAGCATAGATGGGAGGAGTATAATGTGATAACTTCTAAAACTCCGCCCACTACATTCCACTTGAATACATGTGTATAATAATAAGTATGGAAGAAATCTCACAAATATCGAGTACCAGGCGCACATAGCTGACGAGGAGTTACCTGGTCGGTGAGGCTGGGATCTGCTCCGTTGGCTAATAGCAGCTCCACAATGTCATTTGCGTCGGCGGCGCACGCGGCGTGCAAAGCCGAGGAACCTACCTGTTTCAACATAACAAAGAAAACTTTGTTGAGGTTTTGTTATTTTTATATTCCCTCATCGTTCACAGCGCTACATGCCACTTTCACTCATTTACCACATCCTTACACACTTATAATAAGTTCGTTTTTTTTTCTACATTATAAATTTCCTAGAAATCTTATATATGGCAAAACAACGTTTGCCGGGTCAGCTAGTAGTTATATAATATGTTCAAGGGAAAATATTGTTTCGAAAAATTCTAAATTGATAATTTTTTTGGCACCGTTTTGATTTGGAATACGATGTACCTAACAAAAAAGCGTGTACGATTAAGCCTGCAAGAGAATGGAATGCTCTGGCGGATGCAGTCAGAAGTGATACTACTTTTAACTGCTTTAAAAGAATGGTAAAGGAACATTACTTATCTGCTTTTTATTTCTTGCTTCTTCTGCTATTTATTTCCATATTGTTGATTTATTATGTGTATATAAGTATATATATATACCTATTGGTATATAAATCAAATAGTTATTTCAAATTATATGTAAACGGTATATATCTATTTATTGTATGTATATATTTTCTTTAATAATGTATTGCCAATAGTACACCGCAACGTACCTGCTATATCTTTATCTTTTCCAGAATGTCTGTAAATTTAAACGGTTGGCTGGAAGAGATCGCCTTTAACGATAAGATTGTACAAACGTATCTGCTTGTAGACCGTTTTTTAATGTTAATTGCGTTTTGGTGTGCAATAAAGTATGTTCTCTCTCTCTCTCTCTAAGATTGTCAATATACAAAAACAAAGATACAGAAATAGGTTGAACCTGTTGTCTGACACAGCTCACAGAGCTTCTCACCGGATCTTCTCAGTGGATCGCGATTCCGAGCCGGTCGTAGATTCTGCGAAGCACTGCTCTTGCTAGGGTTAGTGTTAGAAAATTCTCGTAGGTTGAGCCCGTGAGCACACCTACTCGTCCGCGCGTAATTAGTATAGCCCCTTTAGGTCAGCGAATAGGTAGGGGAAAAAACTCACGTTATTCTGTAAGTGAACATTTGCGCCAAACTCAAGCAGGTGCTCCGCGATGCCCCGGCAGCCTTGTGCACACGCCAGTTGTAGCGCGGTCACACCGCTCTGCAAGATATGCTGCGCTATAACATTACTTCACCCATCGCTTACTTGAAGTTCGTACTATGAATCTACGTTACCCAGAAATATGGTTCATTATCATCAGCCTTTATCTGCCCACTGCAGGACATAGGCCTTCCCCAATGCCTTCCTTATAATACGGTCCTCCGCTTTTCGCATCCAACGATTTCCCGCCGTGCGCACTAAGTCGTCGGTCCACCTGGTTGGAGGAGGCCCCATGCTCCTCCTGGTACCCATCCGTGGCCTCCATTCGTGGGCTTTCCTCCCCCAGCTGGCGTCGCTGGCTCGACAGATGTGACCGGCCCATTGCCACTTTAGCCTGCTAATTTGGTGGAGAAATGTGGTTGATAACCATTATTAGATATTAAGTAGTAGAAGGCAGTAATATTGATACATTGATTTAATTGGTTTTTTACAGGTGGTAGGACCTCTTGTGAGTCCGCGCGGGTAGGTACCACCGCCCTGCCTATTTCTGCCGTGAAGCAGTAATGCGTTTCGATTTGAAGGGCGGGGCAGCCTTTGTAACAATACGTGAGACCTTAGAACTTATATCCAAGGTGGGTGGCGCATTTACGTTATAGATGTCTATGGGTTCCAGTAACCACTTAACACCGGTGGGCTGTGAGCTCCTCCACCCATCTAAGGGATAAAAAAAAACCTTACCCAGATATGTGGTTGATAACCAATATTAGATATTAAGTAGTAGAAGTCAGTAATATTGATACATTGACTTAATTGCTATTTAAATGACTATACGTTGTTCTGACTAGTGTATAAAGCATCCAGACATAACTAAAACTAATTTTACAATTTAATCTTGTGTTTTTTATTGTCATCACATTCTTTCCGGCTTTTTATCGTATACTTTCAGATTTTCGTGTAAAAGTAGATTTAATTATGGTCTTAACCTTCGGAGTGTGAACCGTCGATAAATCGACTCTATTAATGCGTAAATAGTGCGAAGCGTCGAAACACCGACTGTTGCGCAGTTTTATTATAGGCATAAGTAATGTATTAATCTGTAGTTATGAGTAATTAGGTAATTAAGGCAATTTCTGTGAAATATGTGAAAATAAGTTTAGCACTAGATGGGTTAAGATAGATATATAATAAAAATGTATAGAAGAACTAATTTTAAATATAATATAAATAAAATAATTTAAAGAATTTGTTTACTGTGCAGTTTTTTTTTTTATTGCTTAGATGGGTGGACGATCTCACAGCCTACCTGGTGTTAAGTGGTTACTGGAGCCCATAGACATCCACAACGTAAATGCGCCACCCACCTTGAGATACAAGTTCTAAGGTCTCAAGTATAGTTACAACGGCTGCCCCACCCTTCAAACCAAAACGCATTCCTGCTTCACGGTAGAAATAGGCAGGGTGGTGGTACCCACCCGCGCGGACTCACAAGAGGTCCTACCACCAGTAATTACGCAAATTATAATTTTGCGGGTTTCATTTTTATTACACGATGTTATTCCTTCACCGTGGAAGTCAATCGTGAACATTTGTTGAGTACGTATTTCATTAAAAAAATTGGTACCCATCAGCGGGATTCGAACACCAGTGCATCGCTTCAACACGAATGCACCGGACGTCTTATCCGTTAGGCCACGACGACTTCAAGTTTACGATTACGCTTATCGTTTAATATGTTTGAAATATTTATTGTGATTTGCAATTCCATTTTACTGCTCACTGTAATGACAACAAAGCTATCGCATCGAAATTTTATTGAGGTGACTAACTTTTTGTTTTGCGTTTTATAGTTAATCAAATTTCTAGGTCAGAATCGTAAATTTTTCTCGCATACATCTAGCTTAATAGTAAATAATTGTGGATTTCTTCACAACACACACAATGAAAGTCTGTTAAGAAACTGATCTTCTATTTCCGAGTTCGGCTACAACAAACAAACAAACAGACAAGATGATGAGGCTGGTTACGGATTTTTGTTTAATTTCTTTTTCAGGCTTTTTATTACGTTCGTATAAAGATTCATTATATTTTTTTACCGAGGGGGACCATTTTCTACATCTTACGACACGGTCAAGAATATAGGAGTAAATTACCAGGCTAATATAAACACTAGGAGGTTGGAGTCTTTGGTAGTTTTCCAATTACAGAGCATAATGCGACTCAGTGACGCACAATGCCGAATTATGTTGAAGCTTAATTGGAACGTGAATTAGTTTTCAAATGCATCAGCAGAGTGCGCTAAGTTAGCACAGTTTTAATTAACATTGATTATTTCTAAGAAACTACGACGAAACGAAAGCCTTACAATTTTTTTTAACATTAAATAATATTACTAACGATAATATAAACAAAATTTCGATCAATATAAACAAAATTTCGATCAATGCCAACTTAAAGAAAAAACACTAGTCAATTTTCTGTCACTGAGTCGGTATCGATTGCGAGTATCACGCGAGAGCAGTACTTTTGAGAGTGCTCGATTGTGCGAAGAGTTGTTGTAGTTGGAACATTCCACGTTGAGCATTATGCCGCATAATGCACTCTTGTGCTGTAATTGGAAAACTACCTTTCTTAAATATTTTTTTTTCTATCTTTCAACGCAATGAGGGCGTTTTATGAGCCCGCACGGGTGGGTCACATCCATAAGCACGTTCAAACACGTCATTTCGGATCGTACCGGTCCACTCTTGGTGCTTCTAGGCTTTCCAAGTACCGGTCACCATTCTCGTCAAACTCGCCGAAAGGCGACGAAGGTTTGTCGTGCAACTTAAGCCACAGACACGAACTAAGATTCTCCTCGATCTATTCTCAATGTGTCGCTATTCTGATCCGATGGTAGATTCTGAGAAGCACTGCTCTTGCTAGGTCAAATGTTAGCAAAGTCTCATGCTCAGCCCCATGAGCTCGCCTACATATCTAACAGGGCATCATGAATTCGAAGAAGTGACACGTAGATAATGCTTAATCACAAAGTACTGTAACTGATACTTTTAGTTAAATACTTACATCATCAACCGCATCGACGAAGCATTCCGCCTCCAAAAGGACCCTCACGAGCTCCGTGTGTCTGTGAACTGCAGCTATGTGTATTGGTGTCCTGCCGGCGTTGTCCCTGGCTTCCTTAGACGCACCTCGTGATACCAGGAGACTAGCAGTTGAGGAGTATCCGCCTTCGCAAGCCATGTGTAGAGCCGTACGACCGTTCTGTGGACCAGGTTTACTTAAAAAAAATCTTTTTTAACAACTTTACTGGTGGTAGGACCTCTTGTGAGTCCGCACGGGTAGGAACCACTACTCTGGCTATTTCTGCCGTGAAGCTATAATGCGTTTCGGTTTGAAGGGTGGGGCAGCCGTTGTAACTATACTGAGACCTTAGAATTCATATCTCAAGGTGGGTGGCGGCATTTACGTTGTAGATTGTAGAAAAATAAAAAGATATTACAATCTGAGGTAATTTTACAACATACATAGTACATAATTATATTGCTAAGTAAAAAGTAAAGTGATTTTCTTAGAGCCTAATAATGAAAAACGCAACGCGACGTCAAAAATGTTAATACGGTTATTACCTAGTCTTGCCATAAATACTGAGACAATGGAAAAAAAAATCTATTGCAAATAACATTTATTACTTTTCAGGTGTGTTAGTTTAATACGTAAATATAAAACAACTTAAAGTATAAAAAGCTTATTCGAAGTGGTCTCCACTGGCTGCAATACAGTCCTTTAAACGTTGAGGCCAGTTATCAATAGAAGCACGCACTCTTTCCATGGGAAAATTTTTTCACTGCCTATCGTACGGATTGTTTTAGGGACTCCAAATTATCATAGCGTTTAGAGCAAGCCGTACTCTCTAAATCTGACCATAAATCATAATCCAGCGGATTAAGATCGGGACTAGACGACGCCAGTCTTCAGCTCTGATGAAGTCCGAAACGTTCGTTTCCAACCAAGACTGCGTAGACCGAGCTTTATAACCTGGCGCCGAGTCTTGCTGGAAGGACCATTCTTGATTATTGAACATGGTGTTGTTAAGGGGCTTCACTACCTTATCAAGAATGGTATCTGTATCAACACTTGTGCCGATGTTATGATACTTTTTTTACAAAAGTATGGCTCAGTCACTCCTTCATAGTTAATACCCCACCAAACCATCACTGAAGTTGGATAGTGCTCACGTTGCACTCTGTCAACTAATTGAGAAGCTTCCTTAGAGCTTTGAGCATAAATACGGGCATTTTGTTTATTAAAATGTTGCTCAATTGTAAAAATTTTCTGATCCGTAAACAATTTTTTCTATGACCACCCTTGGCGTACCGCTTCAGTAGTTGTTTCGATTTTACCACCCTATTCTCTTTTAAATTATCAGTTAAGAAATGACTAGTACGTCTCTTATAGGCTGCAAGTCCTAACGCATCTTTTAAAATACGCGACATGGTTCTAGGTGCTATCTTCCGGATATATATGTATATATATATGCCGGAGTCCGAGATAACCCGGTTCGTTACCCCTCCGGACCGGGTATCCGTAAATGGATTCCCCAGCGTTAAAAAAAAAAAAAAGGTGCTATCTTCATCTCCCAAGATAAAATATTTTGCTTTCGGATAGGATTTATTCGAATTCTTTCCCTTACTGCTTTGACCACCTTTTTCGTACGAACACTACGTGGACAGCCAGATCTTTTTCTGTCACAAACAGAGGAGGTCTCATTGCACCTATTAATAGCCCGGTAGACAAACATTTTACTAATACCAAGCGTATGGAGAGTTTTAAAAATTGCATTTCTCTCCATACCTACCTTGTGTAATGCAATCATAGCGATTCGGTTCTCCTTATCACCCCACTCCATTTTAATATCGCAAAATATTGTACAATGTATTGGCGCCAAAATGTGAAAACTCAATGAGCAATCATAATATAAAAATGATAGATTCCAAATTCAAATATTACATTTTGTTTATTTTTAATTGTAACAGTATTTATGGCCAGACTAAGTATAATCTATGCGTCAAGAATGTTAAAAGTGCGTGATTGAAGTTTCAATATATGAATGAATTATTATTCAATTTTGTTTCCAAAATAAATAGACTTAAATGTACACATTGTTTTGGTCATAGTAAGGAGGCTTTTCAAGAAAAACTCCTTGGAATTTGGTCACGAAATATGTTATATTGGTCATTTGAAAATGGTCGTTCATATTTCATTTCGTACCTTAAGCCCTGTTTTCACTAAAATAACAAAAAGTACATTACTATATTCAAATTCGGAGTTATAGTACTATATTGAAAAAATATATTTGAAATCGCGAGTAGGTACTTATATAAGTATTGAATTATCACCCACGTGTTGAATAAAGAACAAGGACAAAGGCATCAAAGGGACAGATCGAAGCAGAGGCAGTACTTTGCGCTACAATTTTCTTCGATCTCATATCTCAAAGCGGGCAGCGGTGTTTATGTTTCGATATTGCTATTCACCGATCCATTTACAAAAAACTAGAGGTCCCGCAGTAGTCGAAATTCGACTATAATTAATTGGAATTGTAAGTTTGTATACACTATTATGATTGTATTTTATACTTCTATACAAATTTCGCCAAGGCTACACTATAAAGAAATATTAATAAAGACAAACAATATTTAATCTATTCTCAATTTGACAACAAACGTTAAGAACAAAAGTTTGACAATAAATAGTATGCATGCATGTGTGCGTCAAATACATGGTATGTAGTGTGTGTAATGTTTTCTTTATTGATTTTATGTATCTTTTATGCATTATTTTAAAAAAATATTAGCATTGTGCACTTCTTCTCTATATTCTCTATAAGTGTGGAAAATTTCATACTCCTCCGTCCGCGAAATTTTCGTAAAAAGGGATACAAAATTTTTGCTTCACGTATTAATATATAGATACACTCGCTGCAAGAGGTCCATATGAGCCAGTTATGTTGGATTTCGGAAGGTCAAAAGTGTCAACGAGCGACGTCCGCTATAACACTTTATCCCCTTTCAATTCCAGCTGCCAAGGGCGACGCACTGATTTCATATATTCATATATCTTTAATTTGTCACATAAGGACTAATAAAGATATCACAACCAATAAATACAGTCCACTCTCATTTACCGCAACGCAACATATATGCAAGTTAATTTATTCACGATTTAAGAAAACATATATTTTGCTTTGATTCAAAGATTACTGGTGGCCCGGAGGCCTTTCCAGTTTTACCAGAACAGGTGGGCGAGCAAGGAGGGGTGGGATTTGCTAACAGCTGCTCGAGCGCCTCCGAAGGAGACCTTACAACTCAAGAGCAACTGCTTCGCGACCCGCTGAGAAGATCCGGCGAGAAACTCAGCGGGTTGATGCATGGGTTAGGTTGTACGTCGACCTCTTTGTCGAGTTCGACGAGTACGGCTACCGGGAAAACATATTGTGATTCTTTCAAGGCTTTAGATTAAACTTTTCATAAGATTCCACAAAGTTTTCAGTTTATTTCGGTCCATAGATTTGAAAAAACGTTGTTGTCTACGCGCACAATACTACCAAAAAGAACAACATGCGGTCGAGCAGCACTACTGCCACCGCACACAGTTCTCTCGCAACAACCTTACGCATAACACCCGTGTACCTGTGCATCGTTACAGCCGACATTTTAAAATATAATTTGGAAAGAAATAATAAAACATTCATTTCTTTTATACACCACTTCTTGTCTCCTTTTCCTCGCCAAAATTGTTAAAGTTTGTGCTACAAAGTATAGGTATTATGGTTACAATGGGAATAAAGTATTATGACCCGGCCTATTCGTATTTTAGTGTTGTAATAATATTTCTATATTTATATTGCTGTGGGATATTTTAATGACTGTATTTTTATAATAAAATCAAGTAGAATTTAACTGAAATCGCATGCATACTAACAACTTCTTTCTAAGCTTGGGAGAGGTCTAAAGATTATAAATTATTGCTACAAAGAATTTTGTCTGTATCCAAGATGAAAAGAGTAGATAAGACGTTTGTAATTTACCGTTGACCTCATTAAGTATGATTAGAATGTTTAATTGGCCATCCGTATCATAATAATGAGAAATATTGATACAATTTTATTTTTAAATAAATATAAATATATATTTACTAACGAACACGCCACGTTAACTGGTTCCGTGCTAAGTTCGTAAAGAACTTGTGTTACAGGTACCAGATAACGGAAATAAATGTAAGATTTTTATTATACACATACATATATATATAATATGCATCCATAACCCTGGAAAATACATTTTATGTTTATCATACAAATATCTTCCCTTGGCGGGATTCGAACCCGCGATCCCCTTGTGTAGTGACCATGTCCCTAGACCAGACGGCCGTTATAATTGAATTCGTTTATGGCGTAGTGAAACAGCAGTCTAAATATTACGGGGTTGCGTAGTGTGTTGACCCAATTCGGACAATGTTTGTTGACGACGGTCCTGTCGGCGAACGAGTCCTCTCATTTGTGTTTATTATGATATCACTTTACGTGTACACAGGACGACGTCAACTTTTATTGACTTGTATTTCCTTTTTTTTCTTCATCAGACGTAAAAGGCTTATTAGGTACTTTGTTAGTGCGTAATGAATTGCTTAAGTTTGCTAACAGAGCCTCTCTCTCTCTTTATCTCTCGCTTATTGAAAGAAAGATAAACAATAACATGCTTATTTTATGATTATCTACGCTTCGACTACACGATGGCAGTCTGATTATCTGAATTATGATAATGATAACGATGGTACCGACAATGAAGATCGTAATGATGATAATGATGATCTTAATGAATATAACGAACACGAGAATAAATCGTACAAGCGTCTTGATCATTGAACACGTTGTTATGTCGTTTTTTAACTATGTGAAAAATAAAAACCCTAAAAAATACTCATCGGCTATACCTAATTGGAGCTAAAACAGTTTATTAATAATGTGTTTGTATAAGATCGATAGAACCCGATATAAAATAACTGAGGTTCGAAGTAACAAACACCTCTATTACTCAACTAACATTCAATCATTCTTAATCAATAATTCAATTAAGACACATATCTGTCAACTTGATAGGCGGTGACCCTCAGGCTGACATGGATGTTCCAGCTTGAAATGAACAAACCCTTTCAAGTCCGGGTGTAGCGATCGATCATCCTAATCAAAATATACAGTTCAA